TTTTTGTTTTTGACAAGGTCTTGATCATGTAGTCCAGGCTGGCCTTAAACTTGTCTTCAACTTCCAAGTGTTCTATTAGGATTATAGGTGCATCCCGCACCTTGTTTAAAAAGATGGATGATCTGATGAATAACTGCAGGATATATGTAAATGAATAACGTCTTCATTTTCCAGGACTTACACTTCCTGTCCACTCACAGGTTAATGATCAAACTTGGTCCTTAGTAAATCATTCGTGAAGACAGAGCTTTTGGACTTAAATGGTTTTTGCCTCAGATCAAATCCATTTGGGATTTCCCCCACCACCCCTCAAAGGTCCTTGGGCTTCTTGATATTTTTTTTTTTCTTTTTTAGGCCCTCCCCTCTCCCCCTTCCTTTTCTTTGTGTAGCCTTAGCTGTCCTGGAACTCACTCAGTAGACCAGACTGGCCTTGAAATCAGAGATCCTCCTGCTTCTTCGTCCTTAGTGTTGCGCTACCACCGCCAGGCTCTCTTGACACTTTTTGAAAGCACTGCTATGACATGAATACATCTCTTCGACAATGCAGTGCCGTTGGTGTGAAAACAGCAAGACCAGGACCCTGCTGCACTTGGTTGAGCCTGTGTGAAGGATCTGGTGAGGGGAACTGAACTGGCTTCCTCACAGACAACATAAGATTGAAGCTTGGGCTTGCCAGCTTCCACAGCTTCTGTGGCTTATGGCAGTATAGATCAGGACTGATAGTGGGCTTCCTGTATTTTCAATTACCCTTTGTACAGTAAGTACACAGAAATCTTGCTGTTGGGTTTAGTTCCTTACACAAGCTCTTAAACTTGTAGGATTTCCTGAGTGTCTGTTTTTTGGTTTTTTTTTTTTTTTTTTTTTTTTTTTTGAGATAGGTCTTTATACGTTAGCCTGGCCTTGAATTCCTGTTACTCCCAAGTGCTGGGCCTGACAGGGGAAAGGAAATATATCTCTTAGCTAGGAGGAGTTTTATCCTGTAGTCAGGTCTGTTTTTGTAAGGAGCCCCCTAAGAATGAGATGACTTATTCTGGATTCAGAATAGATAACTTCAGGCTAGAGTTTGGTCAGAGGTTGGAAACTTGGGTTCACCAGGGAGAGGAGAGAGCTGGAGGTTGGTTTTTAAAAAGTAAAATAAACTGCCACCACAGCCAGCTCTAACCCAGAATGTTCATGGGGCTTTGGAATTGGCAATAGGAAGGTGGTGTTCCCTGCCCCATGCATGTGTTTCCATCTGGCAGCTTCTGACCTGTCTCACAAACTAAGTAACACATTTTCTTGAGTTCTGAAATCTAGAAAAGTATTAAATCTGAGGGGGCTGTAGAGACCTGAGCTTGTCTTTTTTGTTTTGTTTTAAATTTGTGATTGAGCAGAAGTGTGGATAGTCTGTGTACTCTGCTTGTGGCTGTTGTTTGATGTGCTGTATCCTTTTGGGTTTTAGCCTTTAATTTTATGAGATTTGATACTAAGCTTAGGGGATACTGTGGGCTCTTCCGATTGTGGAAAATTGGTAGTTGCTGTAGGAAAAACTACATTTGGCATCAGGACTGGGTACTGTGAAGAAGGCAACATGACCTCAAACTCAAGTGAGATACCAGAAAAGATCCAGGTACCATTTAACTTCATCACATAAATTGGGACAGGCACAGATTCTGAGTATTATATTGGCCTAGACAAAGGGAACTGTCCATAGCTGAGGCTCTGTACTATTTCGTAGGCTAGGTTTAGGAGCTCACACTGTTACCCAGGCTGGCCTTGAACTAATAGCAACATTCCTGTCTTACTGAATTGAAACTGCAGGGATTCTAGGTGTGAGCCACTGACCCTGGCATTCGTGTGTCATCAGCCAGTGAAGGGAGGATGGATGGCCATTGAGAGATACTAGTCTGGCACTGGAATTGGTGTGGGATTTGCAGATCCCAGAGGGCACTTGGGCCTGTGTGCTGCAGCAGAAAGGCTCTGGACTCTGCCCTTCTGAGCTAGTGTTATGCTTCATGGGGACTAGCCCTACTTCTCTAGGAGGCAATCTGAGAAGCTAATGAGGAAAAAAAAAATCATGTTTATTTCAAAGTTTGTGTTGTATATTTATTTGTTAGCTTACTGAGAGGCTGGTGGTGGTATAAACTATAAATACACAATTTATTTCTGAGCCTTTGATTTTCTTTTCCCCTGAATGAAATGAGTACACAGTTTCTGCAATGAGTACACAGTTGAACACAGTTGAGCCAGGCTTCTGAGGGTTAAAAACATGTCTTGGGATGTTCTGGAAAGCTGTATGGCTGTTCTTGCTTCTAGAGAAAGTGTATGTGTGTTGTTTTGCCGTTGAGATTCACTGTGTACCTTCGGCTGGCCTGGAACTCAATCTTTGTAAACACACTGGCCTCAAACTTTAACAGTTCTGAATTCTGGGATTTGCAGGTGTGCCCCTTCATACCTGTTTTTTTAAGGGTGGTTTTATTGGTTTTAGGGAGGTCACACATAGCACAGGGTGCAGGTTTCCTTGAACTGTAGCTGACTGAAGGTGGCCCTGAACTCTTAAATCCTTCTACTTCTGTATAATTATACTTCAGTATAATCCTTACACTGGATTATAGGTGAGTGCAACCATGTATGCTCCTTTTTCTTTTAGAGGATGTTAGTGTGTGTGGTAATTTATAAACAAAACCTCAATATAGCCCAAGCCAGCCTTGAAATTGAAGCAATCCTCTTGCCTTTTTCCTCCCTCCCATTTGGTAGTGGGGATTGAAACTAGGGTATGTTGGCACATGCCTGTAATCCCAGCACTTTGGGAGGCAGAGGCAGGGGATCTCTGTGAGTTTGAGGTCAGCCTGGTCTATAAAGCAAGTCCCAGACAGCCAAAGCTACACATAGAAACCCTGTCTCAAGACAAAAACAACAACAACAAAAAAAAAAAAAAAAAAAAAAAAAGAAAGAAAGAAAAGTAAAAAAAAAAGAAAAAAGAAACTAAGGCCTCTTCTACGTCTAGAGTTATATCCCCAATCAGAGTGAATTGATTATAAGTAGTTTCATTTCTTCCTTAATTGAATCATCATATAGTACCATCTTAGTCTGAGCACAGAAAAACTCAGCATAATTATTACTGTATTTAGTAAAATTATAGTGGCCACAAATTTTGTTTATTCAGCTTCTCTAGCACATATATTTATTCCTATCATTTGTGGTTGTCTTCACCCTCTTTCAGTTCTGTGTACTACCAGTTATCTACCTACCTACCTACCTACCTACCTACCTACCTACCTACCTATCTACCTACCTACCTACCTACCTACCTACCTGATTATGTGGTTAGGGACTCTGTAGTCCTGGTTGTCTTCGAACTTCATATGTAGACCAGGCCAGTTCAACAAAAGGATTTTCTAAAAACAAATGGACCTATGTGTCAAAATAGAAAAGTAACCTTGGGCCCAGAATGAAGCCTACACTTTAAAACACACACTCATTTTGCTAAAGCACCACAGGGCAAGCGAGATAGAAGGGGGTTGCTGCCAAACTTGATAACCTGAGTTCAATCCCCAGGACCTCCGTATGCATAGTGTGTGAGGTGCCCACACACCTTCATACAAACAATGAATAAATAGAAAGCAAGCAACCACCACAGGGGGGAAGCAGAAGCAGTCTACAACAAAAGATGCCCTGTTCTAGAACATAGCTTTCAAACTAAATCCAGGAGAGTGTAAGTCAGACTAGTAATTGAGTGTTGGCACTGTATGAAGTAGCACAGACTCATTTTGGGATTATATGCTGGCCCAACTGTGTCAGGAAGCAGTCTGTTTGCATGCATCTTACTTTATCACACAAACTGACCTCAAACTTTACAGTCCTCCTGTACCAGCCTCATAAATACTGGGATTGTAGTTGTGTACTACCATGTTTTGCTGAAAAATCTACACATGTATACACATGAACATTGGGCATCACTGGGATTAAGCCCAGAACCTTATGATTATTAAGGTATGCACACTCACTGCCACGCCACTGAGCTATAGCACTATCCCTTGAAAAAAATACATATATAGTTTCTGGTTTTGTTTTGTTTTGAGACAGGGTTTCTCTGTAGCCTTGGCTGTCCTGTAACTCACTATGTTGACCAGGCTAGCCTTGAACTCAAAAATCTGCCTGCCTCTGCCTCCCAAGTGCTGGGATTAAAGGCAAGTACCACCACAACCTGGCCCTTGAAAATATTTTTATCAACACATTCAGCAGTCCAAACTGGAAGCAAGCCACAGAATGTAACAGTACAAATGTTCATTATTCTTGTGGTGAGAAAACTTTTGGAGAACCAGAGTGTACCCTTAGACTTCATTTTTAATGTGCTGTGCTGTACTTCTATAGTGTAAAGATTTGTCTAAGTGAATATTTAAAAGGTAAGTCTCTCTAAAGAGTGAAATTTAACCAAAAATTAACTATTTTATTTCAAAACTTGCTAGTCTGATTTCTGGTATGAATGCAGAGCAACAATAATAAATGAGAATTTTACAGAGCCCCAGGACCTTGTGATCCTGAATGTGGAGATAGTTTGAATTTAAGCCTTTAGCTAGGCATGTTGGCCCATGACTATAGTCTATAGCACCCAGAGGGCTAAGGCAGGGACTGGACTTTTAGTTCTCTGCCAGCCTAAACAAGACCCCTGTCTTGGCCTCTGGTAAATCCACAGGTTTGTAGAATACCTGCATGGAATAAAGGAATGGCAAGTGATACAGTACAGTGTCTCGGCCTCAGGAACCTTGCCAACTGGACCTAAAGAGAGGCCAGCAGACCAGAAATGCAAGTGTATAAAGTGGCAAAAAAGTGGGGCCTAGAGTGATGGCTCATCATGTGCCATCTTTGGTAGTGAGTGGGCCTGTCTCTCTGCCTGCCTGCCTGCCTGTCATTTATCTATTGAGACAAGGTCTCACTGTATGGTCCTGGCTGGCCTTGAACTCACAGGGATTAAAAGTACACATCGTCAAATTTTTAACTGTCTTTTTTGTTCTCTTTAGGCTCCTGGGTAGAACTGCACTTCAGCAATGGGAATGGGAGCAGTGTTCCAGCCTCTGTCTCTATGTATAATGGTGACATGGAAAAAATACTGTTGGATGCCCAGCATGAATCTGGACGAAGTAGCTCCAAGAGTTCTCACTGTGACAGGTAGGTTTGCTGGGTGTTTACAGTGTTGATGTTCCCAGCAAATGGATAATTATAGTTGTACATGCTTTTGTGGGTGGGCTTCCAGGTCTGAGGCCACATTTGGGAGTAGTTCCTGAAGCAGTCCTTATAAAAAAACCCTGGGGTCTGTTGGGAGGAAGTGATCTGGGTTCAGGCTGGAGGGACCATATTCAATCTAGGGACAAATAACAAAGTCCCTTAATATACTGGCCCTTGTTTGAAACTGATCATGGTATGAACACCAAGTCGGAGCAGTTTTGTTCAGGCCCCCAGCTAGCTTGTGTTCCTAGGCAGCACTACTAAGGAGTGAATCCAAGGTGTGTGGCTCAGAGTAAGTGGTCGAAGGTCAGATGCTTCCAAGAGCTATGCCACAGATCATGCAGGAGGGTGGGGCTTCCCTAGGTAACTGCTCAGCCGAAAAGATTTGTTTGGCCCTGGTTAGGCATAAGGATGAGGCGTGCTGTGGAGAGTCCTTTACCACTCCCCTTACTAAGGCAATAGCCCCTGCTTGGGATTGATGCTTCCTATGACAGAATTGACGTGCTACTCTGTTTTATTCATTTCCTAATGAAGCCCACCTCGCTCCCAGACACCACAAGATACCAACAGAGCTGAAACAGACACTCACAGCTTTGGAGAGAAAAACAGCACTCTGGTAAGCCATAGACAGGAGCATGATAAAAGGTTCAGCACATCATCAGTCTGGTGACTCCTGCATGAGATCACTTACACACAGCACACTTGAGTTTTTGCTTTCCCTTAGTTTTTGAGAAAGGGTGTCTCAGTGAACATGGAACTCACCAATTTGGATAGATCCGCTGGTTAGTAAGCCCCAGTGATCCTCCTACCTCTGCCTTCCAGGGCTGAGATTGCAGAACTGTTCTGCTGTGCCTATAAAATGCAAGGGTTTTTTTTTTTTTTTTTATGCCTGTCCTAGCTCCTATAGCTGGGCAGATACTAACCTATTCTAATACTGGCCTGGCCTGCTTCCTGCTTTGTGGTCCATTATGTGGCGATTCTCCAGACCTCACCTGAGTTAGTCAGTCAGTCTATCTGTCTCTTTCTCTCTCTCTCTGAATCAAGGTGATGGACAACAATGTTTACAACATACCAAGACAGGAGATGCTTCATAATAATGACAGTGCCAGATCTCTGGGTACTGAAATCAGCATTTGAATACACAGTGCACAAAAACATCAACCAACACATGAGTGTTGGCTCTATGTTTTTTTAAAATTTTATTTATGTGTATGTGTGTATGAGAGAATGCCACATGTATGCAGGTGTCCAAGTTGTCTTGAAAGAGGACATTGGATCCTCTGGAGTGAGAGTTATTGGCAGCTTTAAGCTGCCTGATGTGGGTGGAGGAAAGCAAACTCAGGACCTCTGAACAGGAAGCATTTTGATTGATTGATTGATTTTTGTGACAGGGTTTCTCTGTGTAGCGTTGGCTGTACTGGACTTGCTATGTAGACCAGGCTGGCCTTGAACTCACACAGATCCACCTGCCTCTGCTTCCCTGAATGCTGGGATTACAGGCTTGCCACTAGGCCTGTCTTAGCAACAGTATCTCTTGATTTTTATTTAGACAGGGAATAGCTATTCACCCTATCTAGCCTGAAACGTGCTGTGTAGACCAGTCCGGTCTTGAACTTACAGAAAACCAGTGCCTCTGCCTCCTAACCAGTGCCACCCCTGTACTTAGGGTGTGTACCACCATGCCTACTGGTGTTGAGGATTTGAACTGAGGATCCTGATACTCGTGTAGCAAACACTTTTATTTACCGAGCCATCTTCCCAACCACCACTCTCCCTTCTTAATAGGGTTTCCAAAAATATATTTTAAATAGTGTGTGTGTCTGAGTCCAGGTGTTTACATGCCAAAGGCATTAGATCCTTTGGAACTAGAATTATGGGCAGCAGTCAGGCACCTGGTCTGGGTTCTGGGAACTGGATTTGGTCCTCTGGAAGAAGAGCAAGTACTCTTAAGCGCTGGGCCAATTCTCTAGCCCGAGACAGTTAATATTTTAAAACCATATATTAGGAATTCCATTTTGCTAATACTGAGGTGGCTATAGGTGTGTACACCTGAGTTTTGCAGTGAGTGTGGGGCTAGAGCCCAGGATGGTGTGCATGCAGGGCAAGCATACAGCCCAGCACATGAGCTCACTTTTCTAATAGTAACTCAATAGAAATTAAAAGAGTTTTATATACCCTGTCTTTAGCATTGTTTTGAGATCAGAGCCTATCTTACTGTTCTGTTGCTGTGAAGAGAGACTATGACCATGGTAACTCTTATTTAAAAAACAAAACAAAACATTTACTTGGGGCTGGCTTACAGTTCAGAGTTTAGTCTATTCTCTTCATGTCAGGAAGCATGGCAGACAGAGTGCTGGGGAATTAGCTGAAAGAACTACATCTGGATTTTTAGGCAGCAGGAAGAGGGAGAGTTAGGCTTGGGCTTTTGAACCCTCCAAACCCACACCAAGTGACATATTTCTTCTAAGAAGACCACACCTACTCCAACAAGGCTACACCTAATCCCTTCCAACTAGTGGCATTCCTTGATGACTAAGCATCCAAACATAGGTTTATGGGGCCATTCTTATTCAGTCCACCATAGAGCCTAAGGGTGAAAAGGCTAGATGGTTTATTGCGTAAGCCGACTGTTTTTAATTCATACCATTTTTTGTATAGTAGTTTGAAGCAGTGGCATCTTCCTCAGTTTTCTCTAATAGTGCTATCTATCCTTGTATATGTGGTCTGGTGAAGGTGAGTAACATCTTCTGTAATTGTTCAGCAGTTGTTTTAGGAAGCAAGGTCTCTACTAGAAGCCTTGTTTCCTCCTGTGCCAAATTTTTTCAGTTTCCCATCACCAAAAACCAACTGTCTCTACCTACTAGCCCAGGCTTTCCAGAGAACTCTTCTCTGGTCCCAGTTTGGGCTCCAAAGGCTTCTAGAACCCACTCATCCTTCTGTATACTTAAGTTCACGTCCACTTTTGGAACAGTCTTTGTTTATTTTTTTCTGATATGGTTTCTCTGTAACTCTGGCTATCCTGGACTCTTATTTATAGATCAGGCTGGTCTTGAACTCACAGAGATCTGCCTGCCTTTGCCTTCAGAGTTCTGGGACTAAAGGCCTGTGCCAGCACTTCCAAAAGCACCTTTTAAAGTAGCTTGTTATACTAGCCACACCTGGTTTTAGAGTCATCATTTTAGAATGTTCTCATTTTTTCCTTCTGTAATAGGTTCTGCTGTTATCTAGGTTCTCATGACAGTAGAATAGTGATTTTGGTATTTTGGGATGGAGTCTTTTCTACTGTGTAGTAGTTCAGGCTGTACTTCAGCTTACAGAAAATCCCTGCACTCGCCTCCCGAGTGCAGGGATGTAAAGGCTGTGCTACTGAACCTTGTTTTTGTGGAGTTGGGAATGGAACACTCAGGATTCTGTGTATATGTACTTTGCAAACTCAGCTACATCTCCAGCCCCTAATCCAGATTGAGCAGTGGACAATCTGGACCACTTGGACAAAATGGGCATGTCCATAAAGGAGAAGCATATGTTAAGGCTTGTGAGAGACATGACTAGGTAACTACACTGGGGTCTACTGGACACTGGATGTGGATTGATACTGATTTCAGAAGACCCCAAGAAACTTAGTTCCAATTAGAGTAGGGGTTTATCAAGTTAGGTGATTAATGGATTTTTGGCTGAAGTCTGACTTAGAGTATACTGAGTGGTCCCTGAACTCATTCTGTGGTTATTTCCTGGGATAGATATATTTAGAAGTTGGCAGAATTCTCACATTGGCTCCCTGACCTGTGGAGTGAGGGCTCTTATGGTGGAAAGGCTAATGAAAGCCTTTAGAGTTGCCCCTGCCAGGGAAAATAGTGAATCAAAACCACTATCACACCACTGGAGGAACTGCAGAAGTTAGTTACATTGTTACATCAAGGACTTCAGAGATGCAGGGTTGGTGGTTCCCACCACATCTCCTTTTAACTCTCCTCTCTGACTAGTATAGAAAACAGATGGATTGTGGAAAATGACAGTTGACTGTCAAAACTCAGTGAAATGGTGTAAATATATTTAAATAGGTAAATCACAGAAGAGACCTTCTGATTTGGGAGCAAGGCTCTACCATCTGCAGATAGCTTATCTCCTTTTGGCCTGCTATTGGGCCTTAGCAGAAACTAAACATTTGACAGTGATCCACAGAGTTACTATGTGACCAGAGCTACCCATTATAGGCTGGGTATATATGACCCATCAAGGCACAAAGTAGGATGTACACAGTAACAATCCATTATCAAATGGAAGTGGTATATATGTGATCAGGTTCAAGTAGGTCCTGAAGGCACAAGGAAGCTACATGAAGAAATTGCCCAAATGCCCATGGTTTTCTATTCCCATTACAATACCATGCATGTACCTATAGCCTAATGGGGTATGCATTATGATTGATTGAGGAAGAAAAGACAAGGGCCTGGTTTTGCACATTATCCAGGGACCACCCAGAAGTGGACAGCCACAGCATTACAATCCCTTTCTGAGATAACCCTGAAAGACAGAAGTGAAGAGAAATCTTCACATTGGGCAGAACTTCATGCAGTATTCATGATCATACATTTTGTTTGGAAAGGGAAATGGCCAGATGTGCAGTTGTTCACCAGTTCATGAGCTGTAGCCAATGAATTGGCTGGATGGTCAGGGACCCAGAAAGAACATGACTAGAAAATAGGTGAGAAGGACATCTGGGGAAGAAGTATGTGGATTGATTTTTCCAAATGGATAAAGAATGCGAAGGTACTTGTGCCCAGTGTGAGTGCTCATCAAAAGGTGACTTCAGCTGAGGAGGATTTTAGTAATCGCGTAAATTGGGTGGCCAATTCTGTGGAGAGTCTTTCCCCAGCTATTCCTGTTATTGCCCAATGGGCTCATGAACAAACTGGCCATGATAGCAGAGATGGGGGTTATACATGTGACAACATGAACTGCACTCACTGCTGCTGAGTGTCAGATCTGCGAATGGCAGAGACCAACACTGAGTCCCAGATATGGCCCTATTCCTGGGGTAGCCAGACAATGACCTAGTGGTAGGTTGACTACATTGAACTGCTCTCTCCATGGAAAGGACAACACTTTGTCCTTACTGGAGTAGATACTTGTTCTGGTTATGGATTTGCTTTTCCTTCACATAACCATAACCACCTTCCATGGAGATATAGACTTCCTTATCTACTGGATTTTACATAGCATTGCTTCTGACCAAGAAACTCGCTTCGCAACCAGACAAATCTGACACGTCCATGATCATAGAATCTACTGGTATTATCATGTTCTCAACCATCCTGAAGCAGCTTGCCAGAAAGAAAGATGGAATAAACTTTTGACGACACAGTGCTAGTTAGGTAACAGTAGCCTGGAATGGCTGGTACAAGGTTCTCCAGAAGGTGGTATACACTTTAAATCAACATCCACTATACGGTACAGTTTTTCCAGTGGAAAAGGGAATAGTTCTACCCACTACCACTCCTAGTATCGCACTAGGAAATTTTTGCTTCCTGTTCCTTTGACCTTAAGTTCTGCTGGTTGAGAAGGAGGGGTGACTTCTTCCAGGCGGCACAACATCCTCTTGAACTGGAGGCTTAGTTTCTGATGCCCTTAAACAAGCTAAGAAAGGAATGACAGGCCGAGTGGTGCAAGCCTGTAGTCCAACTGCTCAGGGAGGCAGAGGCAGGCGGAGTTTGAGGCCAGCCTGGTCTACAAAGTGAGTCCAGGACAGCCAAGGCTACACAGAGAAACCCTGTCTTGAAAAAGAAACAACAAAAGGATTGCTTCTCTACAGTGGAGGCAGGAAAGATTATGTCTGAGGTGCAGGAGATTCTTTAGGCTGTCTCTTGGTGCTACCGTGTCCTGTGATTAAATTTAATGGGAAACTCCAAAAAAGGGCACAGACTTCTGCAGTGAAGGTATGGGTCACTTCCCTCAGGAAAAGAACCAAGACCTGCTGAAGTGCCTGCTCAAAAGTGGAGGAAATACATAGAGAGGGAACTAGAGGAAATAACAGCTGCTGAGGCCATGTGATCTGTTGCAGAAACAAGGATTATCATTGACACAAGTGTTAAAAATGTGTTTACAGATTTGTATTTACTCAATTTATCATGTAATATCAGTTAAGAGAATATTTGTGATTATTTTAGTTTGAAATACTAAGAGAATATTCCTCAAAGGACATTACCAACTAAATGTCTGAATTTGTAATGTATTTATGGTTGTAGGTGGAATAGTTAATATGTCAGGTATAATTATGACCTGGCTTTTTTTTTTTTTTTCCATTTGGAAATTGGGCATAAGGAGATAAGATTGTGTGTTAAGTTGACAAGAGTTGGCTATTCTTGGTTGTCACCTTTGACTATGTCTGGAATTAACTAAAACCCAAATGGCTGGGCACAGCTGGGAGGGATTTGTTATTTAAGTGAAATCATTGGAAGTGGCAAGGGCCACTTTCAGTCTGAGCCACACCTGCTGGTGGCAGCCAATATGACAAGTTTGCTGTGTCTGCTGGGGAATGGCCCTTTGACCATGATCACAAGAGTCGGTGGAGTTCTCTGTTGAGCTTATTGACCATATCTCTGCTGTGAATGTGGAAAGCTTACCTGCCTTATTTAATATTTACTTTTTCTTAGTCTGAGGAAGATTATATTGAGAGAAGAAGAGAAGTTGAAAGTATCTTGAAGAAAAACTCAGATTGGATATGGGATTGGTCAAGTCGGCCAGAAAATATACCCCCCAAGTAAGTCTTTTTTCATTATTCTTGTCAAGGCTCTTCCCTTCATAAGAGGACATTGATTGGCAGTTGCTTTCTACCCCAGGGAGTTCCTTTTTAAACACCCGAAGCGCACAACTACTCTCAGCATGAGAAACACGAGCGTTATGAAGAAAGGGGGGATTTTCTCAGCAGACTTTCTGAAGGTTTTTCTTCCATCTCTGTTGCTGTCTCATCTGCTGGCCATTGGATTGGGGTAAGTGATGTTTCTTTATGAGCACTAGCAGGGTGGGCCTTGGTAATTCTAGGCCTCAGCAATTTGTTTTTACATTGCTTATTAAGAGAGATCATGATAGCTTGGTGCATTTTCACAAACTTATTCCTAGGTCATTGTTACATCAAAAAGTAAAGATATCCTATCCTGTGGAAGGCCTTGCCCCTTTATCTACCATGTCTTGCAGAGGGGTTCTAATGCTCACTTCTTTCTTGTGCCACCTATACAGTGGGTGGATGGTCCTGTTGAACTTTTGGCAATAATGAAGTAAATAACACCTCCAGGTTTCTGCTTATGTATGAAATTTAGACTAAAGCAGAGCGAGTAATAAAGCTGTGGATTCTCTAGATGGGGCCAGGTTGTGAAAGGAACACTAGGGATTGGGACACATGTATCTGGGCTGGCCTCGCAGGGATGAGATTGGTTTTCAGATCTTCCTATGTCTATGTGTTCTGAGTGCTAGGATTAGGAGTGTGTGCCACAACACCCAGTTTGGTTGGTTGAATCCAGGGCTTCATACATTGTGGTCAAGCACTATACCAGTTGAGCTATATATCCTTGGCTCTTGCTTACTCTTTCGGTAGGCATATCCCTAGTAGCCCCTGTCCATGTGGAAGTGATCTCACAAGACCCTCCATATGAAGATAGTGTTGTGTGGCAGCAGTCTATTGAAATAGCTGGCATGCCACTACAGATCTCTGGCCTAAGTTGGTTGGAGATATGTTTGGGGCAGAAGGCTCTGTAATCTGCTTATTTTCTCCCAAAAGCTGTTCATGTGGTTGATGACACATTGTCTGTTTCGTGTTTGGTCCCTTGGGATTTTGTGGGTCTCATACGTACATCTAATCCCAATCCTTAACTGTCCTTATCTCCCTGCACAGCAGACCCTCAGGAGCCTTGTAGGCCTGCCTGTAGAAATTGCTTCCTGGGTATAGAGGCTCCTCTTATACTTGGGCTGGAGCCCTACCTGCTTTCACCACTTCTCTTCTGGTGCTTGGTCTCATGGACAGGTGCATCCCATCAACTGGAACTTTTTTTCTCAGAACTAGTAAGCAGTAGGGTTCAGTGGCACTTGGAAAGCAGAGGCAGGGGATCACTGAATTCCAGGCCAGCCAGGACTACTTATTGAGGCCTGGTCTGAAAAAATAAAACAGAACAGAACCAGCAAGGGGAGGACCTGTGGGCAGGGCCCAGGAAACTCCATGTTTAGTACTTAAGTTAAGCTGCTTGAGTTTTTCCCTTCAGGAAATCATTTCTGCATCCAGCTCCTACCTACTATCTCTGTCCTTCATCCTTCCCAGTCTCAGAGCTTGATGGTGCCACCCCAACCACATCCTTGACAACTTCCAGTCTTTCTAGATGAAAGCTACCCTCCTTAGTTCAGATAGCTCACTGCCCACACAGTCTTATTCTTCCCACTCCACACAGATCTGGCCAGGTGGAATTCTTTCTTGTTTCCTTTCCTTGAGATTGTTATTCCCCACTCTACTTAATTTCAGAGAAGAGAGGCTTCATTACTTCTTGGTTGGGCTTTGAGGTTAGTGGTAATGAACTAACTAGGTATGAAGCCAGCCTGCACTGCAGCTGTGCGACTCATTTGGCATACTGAAGGGAATGGAAGTAATAGCATTTGGGGTTGGTTTATACTTTTTGTGGGGAGTCCTTGGGTTTGAACCTGGGATCTTGTGCATGGTGAAAGTGCTCGTCATTGAGTTTCAACTCCTGGTAATATATTAGTATCTTTGATAAAGATTACAGTTATACTTTATCAATTATAAGGTGGTTAGTTCCTTTCTAAAGCTGTAACCATGGTGGCCTGCCCTGTTCGAGCTACATATAAAGTCACTTGAGAATTGACTGACTACCATTCCTTTTCTAGGATCTATATTGGAAGGCGCCTGACAACTTCCACTAGCACCTTTTGATGAAGAATTGGATCTGACTTCTGGTCACACAGTGAGGATTCATGTCTGAGCTGTGACAGCTAACTGAAGAGCTAGCATGATCCTTGGGTGTCTGCACTATGTGTGTTTATTTGTTCTGTAAATGCAGTGTTCCTGATTTAGTCAGACAGAATAGACTCTAATATCATGACCTATAATTATACCTATGGGATCAATTAATAAGCATGTCAGACTGATGCCTATTGTAGCATTTATTAGTAAATTTCTTTGGATATTAGATATAAATAGTATAAAAAAATTTTAATATTGTAGCAATGATGTAATTAAAACAGATCTGTAATCATAATGCAGTTAAGACACTACACTTCAAAAGAAGAAGTAAATGATATTTAAATCATTAAAGAACTTGTCCCAAAGGAATATTGTGGCCTTATAGTCCTGTTACATAGTAGAAAATGCTAAATGGTTAATTAAAGGGTATGGGTTATCTGTAAAGGCCTCTTATTATATGAATTAAGTAGCAAGTAGAAGCTAAGGTTATCCACAAACCCCACTCTGCAATCCCCACCTCTTCTTGCTTTGCAGGATGAGGGTTCCAGCCTTGCTGTCTGTCTGCCATTACCTTGGACAGTCAGTTTTGTTGCAGGCATCTTCATCACTCTCCTGGATTTAATCCCTTTGTACTTAAATTTTGTGTGCTTAATCAGCTCTATTGTAAGCAAATCTGTCTACTTTAAAAGACTGGAAATGAAAAAAAATAAATCTTTGCCAAATCCTTTGGAGATTACTGGATTTGCATATGTGTTAATCAGTAACCAAAGCTTCTGTTAAACAAAGCGTCCTCTCAGTCTCTTTTCTATATAGCATGTTTTTAAAGCCTGCCTCTTTGCTATGCTGTATATATCCTGTTGTATTGTTTCATTGTCTCACACTTAACTCAGGTGTGTTAAAATAAAAGTAACATTTTAACAGTCTTTTGCTTATATTTAATGATTACTTGAAATAGCTTATTCCTTTCATTTGGAGAAAGATGGTAGGATGTTACCAGATTTTCCCTTTGCCTGGAACTCAAAGGTGTATCTTCCTGGGATTAAAGGCATGCAACACTACACCTGGCCCCCCAGAATATTCCCTTTATTTTTAGTTTAAAGGGTACACTAGCCCATGAGTTCAGCATCAGATTATCTGGAGCTGGAGTTGTGAGCTGCCCTACATGGATGCTGAAAACAGAATCATGTCTCCTTTAGCAGCCTCCCACCACTCATTATCTTTTTTTTTTTTTTAAGCAATTGGAAAAGGCCACTTTTCTCATGTTTCAGGCTTCATATGTCTCTAAATAACAGAAATATATTTCCAGATGGCTTTAGTGAAAAGCCTTTCTGTTTCTTTTTTCTTCAAGATAGATAGGGTTTCTATGTATATCTCAGAACTTTTTATGTAGACCAGGCTAGCCTTGAACTTGTTTTCTGCCTCCTTAGTGTGAGCCATCTTGTCTTGCAAGCTCTTATGTTTCTATTCTAGGAATGTGTGGGGCACTAGACTCAATCCTTCTGCCTCTGCTGGGGTCACAGCACCACCACACCCAGCCTGCTTTATCCCCTTGGGGGATGGAGAGATGGCTCAGTGGTTGAGAGTACTGGCCATTCTTTCTGAAGATACGGGTTTCATTCCCAGTACCCAACGTCAGCGGCTCACAATTATGTGTAACTCTAGTCCTAGGTCTGATGCCCTCTTCTAGCCTCTGCAGACATGAGACACAGAATTGTTACACAGATATGTATGTAGACAAATCACTCACAGGTATATAAATAACTGTAATATTGCTCAGTTATTAAGTAGTAAGTTTGAAATTGGCAAAATTCACTAGTTTTGACTTAAAAACTGCTTTGGCCACTAGTTAATGCAGTTTGAGTTTAACATACTACAGAATGTGCCATATGGCAAGTGCAGAGGGTTGCAGCTATGGAGAAGACCTAGGGACTGTACCTTAAAAACGAGACAGAGCAGGCTGGAAAGATGCTCAGTGGTTAAGAGCACTGGCTGCTCTATCGAAGGACCTCAGTTCAGTTCCCAGTACCAGCATGGCAGCTCACAACCAGAACTACAGTTCTAGAGGATCTGACATCTGGTCTTTCAGGCATGTGGTTCACAATGATGGATGTATATGTTCCCTCCCCTGGAATAAGACAAAAAGTGATGTGGCCTAGTTCCTGGGTCCATCAAGATTTAATGCTGACAGCCGTTACTTTTCTGACTGGACATTATCTTGGACCGCAGACTCCATGCTAGGAAGAATCTAAACTGCCCATTGGAGAGGCCTACCTGCAAATCAATGGCTGGGAAGCAGGCTGGCCAGCTCACCCTGCTAACCCATCCTCATAGTCTTGGAGCTGAGCCAAAAGTACTGCTCAGACAGACTAAAGGAAGTACTCATCCTTAGGAGAAAGAGCTAAAGACAATGTAGCACATTTCCTTATTTGTGCCAAAGTCTGAGGCTGAAAAGAAATGAATAAGGTGTGATGGACATAGGAAGGGTGAGTGGCTGGTGGACTGGGCAGGTAGGAAGGAGTGGGAGGAGTAAGGGCAGACTTAAAATGACAGTGGTGCTTCCCTGTAATTCAAGTACACAGAAGGGTAATTAACCTGAGTTATGAGTGAAAAACAAGCATGCTTTAGGGGATGGGAGACAACAGCAGGAGCCCAGTGTCTGGCAAGTAATATCTAGACTAGATTCTACAGGGATGTGATAGTAAAAAATAAATAAAAATGCATATATTAATACTGAGCAAAGAAGGAAGTTAAGGATAATAAGTCTGGTCTTTTTAACAAAGAAGGGTGGGGTAGGCTGCTTGAGGCCTATGATGGGATCTAACTGAATGTTTAAAGTAGATGGTGAAATGAATCCAGCTAGCTGCTCAGAGCAGCTCAGAAACAGGCACTAAACAGATCCTATATTTAGTATTATATTCTAATGAGAAAGCCTGGCTCACTGGGGAAGTCATTGATAATGGGGGGGGGGGGGGGGGATGAGTCTGGAACTTGCCAGAAAGGAAGGGGTCTCAGTGGCCTCTGGAGATGGAGACCCTTGTGTGTCCACCCTGAATGGCTCCTTGCTGGCCCAGCTGGGACCATGTGAGTTGTGAGATCATGGCCATATGATGCTTTTTTGCTCACAGCAACCCACACATGTGTGGCTAGCTAGGAGTATTTTCTCCTAATAGAATTCAAGTTAATACAGACGATGACTCCTACCATCCCCTATTAGGGATTATCTGTTATCAGGCAAACTACAGAGCTTACAGTGGAAATCAATGTTAGCCTGTGAAAGCAACAAGAGATATTCTAGGGCCAACAGGATGGTTTAGTGGATAAAGATGCTTGCTGCTAAGGCTGATGGGTTCTATCCCTGGGCCTGGGAGAACAGATTCCTACAAGTTGTTTGCTGACCTCCACATATGTAACCCCCATCCCAAATGCTTTTGTTTTGTTTTGTTTTAATGGTATTCTCATCTTTTCCCCACAAAATGCTCAGTCAGAAATAGTTGCTTTAGGCTAAAGAAACTTGGTCCATATGTCAACTGCTGGTTTGATGATGAGGCCATATCAGGTTTTTCATTGTTTTTTTGTTTTTTGCCCAAATGTATAATTGCAGTTTAATCATTAGACAAAAGTATATGGAGCTAAATTGAAGGGGATTCTCTGGAAAAAATTATCTGTACTCTTCAAAATTGTAAAGATCATGAGAGACAAGAGATTGGCAAGAAGAGATAACATACGGTGTTCCTAGACAAAGGATATTTAAGAACAAGTAAAACCAAAGCTGTGTGTTTAGTGTGAGATGTTATACTCACACCACATAAGCTGAATATTCTGTGACACCTGTTCGATTGTTCCAAAGAGAAACAAAGTCAATGGTGCCTTTTACTCACAGTGGTCCTGGGCCATCAGCAGCAGAATTGACAGGGACATTTCTGGAAATGGAGATTCTGGGCACATGCCCTTCTGTCAGAGCTGTGTCCTCGAGCTGCTGTGGAGAGACTGGAGTTGTGTGAAGGGACAGGAGGAGCTACCCTCTAAATAAATGGCTGTCTAAAAAACTCAAAGCACATTCAAGAAACAATTACAAGGGTCAGAGGTAGGAAAAGATGTTACCTGCCTGTTGGGATATGGAGGCTGAAGGGTCACATGTACAAGCCAGCTGTGACAAGATAAAGCAAGACAGAGCAGAAGGTGTGGGTGGCTCAGCTGGCTGCAATGCTCACCTGGCATGCACGAAGCCCTCCTTTTGATTCCCATCTCCACATAAACCAGCTGTGGTGACACTCAGGAAGTAGAGCCAGGAGGTTCACAGTCATCCTTTGTTTACATAGTGAGTTTGAGGCAGGCTTGGGATAAAGATACTCTAAAAGGGTTTACTTTTGTCTGTGTAATCCTGGCTTATTCTGGAACTCACTACATAGAAGATGTTGACCTGAAATTTCAGAGATCTGCTTGCCTCTGCATCCAAGAGTGCTGGGATTAAAGGTTTGTGCCACATTGTCCAGCCTTTCCCTACCCCCACCCCCACTCCTTTTTTTGAGACAAAATTTCATTGTATATCATGCTGGCATCAAACTCACTGCCTCAGCCTCCTGAGTACAGGACCCAGTTCACCCAATAACCTGAAAATAAGCATCTCCGGGAGGGCGGAACAGGCTGTGCACTCCCAGGGTAGCATTTGGTGTAGAGCCACTGCATAGTGCCCTCCAGCCCAAGAGCCAGGGGTTATGTTGATCAAGCCATGGCATGAGCTCTGAGTGGTGGGGCAGAATTTCGTGCCTTCATGTCTTGCACCTGAAATGTGCAAGACTCAGTCAGACCACAAGCTTTGAAAAAAAATTTTTTCAAAAAGCATTTTCAACTGTCTGGAAACTACAAACTGAACATGCTGTCTTCAGACACTCATTAGCCCAAGATGGCCACCAAAGTTTCATTTCACTTATTCCTTATCAAAACAGCCACAAAATCAGAGTTAAAAAGCTTTCTTTAGAATAATGCTCCTGCACACTAAGATTATAACACTTTTATTTCATGACACCTCTTTTAGTTTTACCCTATCATTCTGATAGTGTAGGCTCCTGTCTGCTATGGGTTTCTCTATTCCTAGCTGTCCTGGAACTCACTCTGTAGACCAGGCTGGCCTCCAGCGCAGAGATTCCACTTGCCTCTGTATCCCTGAGCACTGAGATTACAGGTATATGCCACCATTCCTGGGTAGTTTCTATTTTTTAAATGTTAGTTTTTTTTTTTTTTTACATTTTTGACATTATGTACATTTAAAAAAATGTATATAAAATCACTGTGCAGGACCACTTTAGGGAGAGAGCTCCAGACTACACTTCCTCTTCCCTGGAGCTATCACCACTCTTATGACCATTTCCTTGCTGCTTTGCCTCAAAAAAACTTTCTACTGGTCTTTTGAGTGACACTCAGGAAAAGCATGTGGGACTTGAGGCAGAACAGGTGATAAAGTTATAGGCAGGAGCAGGCAGACTGGATGGGAACGTCATGTTTTTCGTTTTGTTTTTGTTTGAGACGGTCTTTATGTTGTCTAAGGTGTCCTAGAACTTGCTATGTAGTCTAAACTGGCCTTGAACTGCCTGCATGCAGCAAGCCCCTACAAGTGCTGCTGACCTCCTAGAAGTGCAGCTAACTGCACCATCCATGCCCCACTGTCTGGGGGCAGACAGTTTCCTAGAATGGAACTTTTGCCCTTTCACTTTAGCCAGCACCCAGCCATGCTGCAAGCGGAGAACTGCTGGTACTCAGCACCCTTGGTTATTTTCTCTATTTGTAATGTCCAAGGACTAGCAGCTAGCTGTTGCATTAACCTGCACAAGACCCTTGGCTCTTCAGACTTTAGAAAGCATGGCAGCTGGGACAGGGTCTATTAACACTGGCCCAGAAAGGTGTCAGGCACACAGCCAGCACCTAG